TTACTTTTAAAAAAATTTTTTTTTAATTCAAAAAAATTAATTTAGATCTGCAGAGAATCGCTGTCCGTTATATCATCTTTGTGAATAGCAGTGTTTAGTGCCTGTGTATTAAACTAGAGAATTTTAACCATTTTATTGCTTTGTCAGTTGAACCAGCAGGGTGAAAGCTAGGATATAAAATGTCATGTTTTATTATAGAACATTGGCTAGTAAACCAGACAATATTAAAATAAAATTTGAGGAGCGAAAGTAGCACTTTTAAACTGTCAAATTAGTTTTTGATAGACTTTATATTTTAATGTTCTAAAAGAGCATTTCTAGGTTTACAGAAAAATTGAGCAGAAAGTTCCCACATACCTCCTTATCCTTTCCTACAATTTCTCCTCTTATAAACATCTTGCATTACAATTGATGAGCCAATATTAATCCATAATTATTAATTAAAGTCCACTGTGTTGTACATTCTGTAGGTTCTGACAAATGTATAAGACATGCATCCATCATTACTGTATCATACAGGATAGTTTTGTGTGCTGACATTCCCTGGGCTCCACTATTCTTCATCCCTGTACACCCCCCCCAAACTCTTGGCAGCAACTGCTCTTTTTACTGTTCTGTAGTTTTGCCTTTTCCTGAATGTCATATGGTTGGAATGACACAGATAATAGCCTTTTCTGATTGGCTTCTTTCACATGGTAATACGTATTTAAGGTTCTTCCATGTCTTTTTGTGGCTTGAAAGCTCATTTCTTTTTATCTATGAATAATGTTCTGTTGTCTAGATATACCATAGGTTGTTTATCCATTCACCTATTGAAGGACATCTCAGTTGCTTCCAAGTATTGGCAATTCTGAATTAACCTGCTGTAAACACTCATGTACAAATTTTTGTGTAGACATAAGTTTTCAACTCATTTGGGTAAATACCAGGAGTGCAATTGCTGGATCATATGGTAAGAGTATGTTTAGTTTTGTAAGAAACCTCCAAACTCCCTTCCAGAGTGGCTGTACCATTTTGCATTCTCACCAGCAATGAATGTGGATTCCTATTGCTCCACATCCTTGTCAGCATTTGGGGTTTTCAGTGTTTTGGATTTTAGCCATTCTAGTAGCTGCATAGTAGTTTGTCACTGTTGTTTTAATTTGCATTTCCCTGATAACATACAATCCAGAGCATCATTTCATATGCTTATTTGCCATCTGTATATCTTGTTTGGTGAGGTGTCTCTGTTCAGGTCTTTTGCCAAATTTTTAATTGGGTTGTTATTGTCGAGTTTTAAGAGTTCTTTGTATATTTTGGATACCAGTCTTTTCTCAGATATGTGTTTTGCAAAGATATTTCCCAGTCTGTGGCTGGTCTTTTCATTCTCTTAAGTAAATTAGATTCTGTTTGTAAATGCAATTTCTATCAGCCATGGAAATTGTAAGAACTAGCAACATAAAAAGAAGGGGGAAAACCCTAAGACTCCTGAAGTTCCCTGAATATTCACGAGGCTAGTCACATTTATTTGGATAGCCTGTTAGTAAAACTAAATATAAATCCTTTAATCTGAATCCTTTTTTATTTAGTCAGTGTAAAACATAATAATCAAGTTTGGTGGTTGGTGGCCAAAGATAATTGATAATTCTGCGTTTGATCCCTTTCTTTGCTCTGTTATATACAATTAAGTGTTTAAATGGCACTTTTAATCTTTGGTTTTTTTATTTTTTCATTTTTTATTTTTCAGTAGGCTCTACGTCCAACATGGGGCTTAAACTCACATCCCCAAGATCAAGAGTCGCATGGTCTACCGACTGAGCTAGCCAGCCACCCCACTTTTAATATGTTTAAATGATTCTATACAAAATACACCCAAAACTCTAAAGTTTGAATCTTGTACCAAATTGATATTAAGAACACAAAACTAAAATAATAAATGCACCCTGGCCCAACAGTATGCCTCTACAGTGTAACCTAAATTAATAACTCAAAAACAAATTGCTCTTGGAAACCAGGACTAAATGAAGAGAGTCTGTACAACTCACATAGTTTGGCTTCTTTAACCAAGAGGCTATTACTTTCTGACCTTTAGAAGCATGTTTGACCATGCTTGCTATATGGTAAAAATCATTAATAAATTTGTAATGAAAAAATCTGATGATACCAGGAGACAGTATCATTACAGCTAAAATTGTTAGAGATGTGGTTTGACACTCTGGACAGGAGTATTGAACTGTTAAAGGATTGTTCTCCCTATAGATCTGCTTTTAAAAAATGAGGTTTCAGGCTGGCTTGCGACTCTTGATCTAGGGGTTGTGAGTTCAGGCCCCACATCACGTGTAGAGCCTACTAAAATAAGAGGTCTTAGGGAAATGGTTAATATAGCAAAAAAGCTAATTTACAGGTGTGTTGTTTGTACTGCAAATTTGGGTTCCCAAATGCCTGGGTGTTGGCTTCCTTTTGTAAGGTGATATGCTTGGCCTACATAGTCTGTTCTCTTACTCAGCCATTTTCATAGCAGAGTACGTTGTTTTGGTCTTTTACTACTGTCAGCATGACAGAATTAAGTTCCATGAAAGGCATTTGAGAGACAAACAATCTTATTTATAAAGGAAGTGAAGGTGGCAAAAACCCAAGTATATTGTTCCTTTTTTTTTCTTATTGGAACTCCATTTATAAATCATAGGGTGCAAAATGTTTATGCCTAAAGCCTGTCACCAATTTCTAAAATGCTGTGAAGTACCACACGATGCAGTATTAATTTCAAAGCCACCCTTTAATGTTGCACAACTGCCTTTGTTCTTGGAACGTTAGCTTAAAATGATTACACAGTTCTATAGAAAAGCTTTCGGAAGTTTAAGAGAGAGTGGTTACTTTGTCAATTGAGGGCTTTTCTACTTCAACATGGATTAAGGGGGAGTCTTAACATAAGAATCCTCACCCAGCTATTCTCCATGGCAGGAGGGATCTTAGTGATGACTTCTTGAGCCACTTTGCTTGAATAAGGCTGGTTGCTTGGATGGATAGCACAGTTATCATCCTAGGATCTCCCTCCACCGCCACCACCCGCCCTAGGGATTTCTTTGATGTTTCTCCAGTGTTGGCAGCTCCCATTTTCTGCATTCCATGCTTACCTTTATATATGGGGTTACTCTTATTTTGATGTGAAGCACTTTCTTTCCATAGGAGCACGGGTGATAGATTGTTGTGGCTCTACAGGCTAGAAATAGCTTTGTTCTACCCTCACACTTGATTACTTGTTTGTCTGGGGTAGGTATAATATTCTATGTTGTCATTTCCCTTCAGAATCTTGCAGATATTGTTCTGTTGGTTTGTTTCCAGTGTTGCTTTTGTGATGTCCAGAGCCATCTGATTCCTGATCATTTGTATGTGACCTCGCTTGGGTTTTGTTTTTATTTTTTGACCCCAACTCCCATCCTCCCACCCTCTGGGCAGATTGTAGAATCTTTTTGTCCTCAGGTCTCAGAAGTTTTACTTCAATGTTCCTTGGCTTGATTTTCACCTATGATGCTGGGCATTCAGTAGACCGTTTCCTTCTTTTTTTTTTTTTTTTTTTAAATTTTATTTATTTATTTGTCAGAGAGAGAGCCCATAAGCATAAGCAGGGGGAGCAGCAGGCAGAGGGAGAAGCAGGGTCGCCACTGAGCAGGGAGCCCGATGCGGGACTCGATCCCAGGACCCCAGGATCATGACCTGAGCCGAAGGCAGATGCTTAACCTGCTGAGCCACCCAGGCACCCCCCCGCCCTTTCCTTCTGGTAGCTAATGTTCTTCAGTTCTAGGAAGTTAACTTGAATTATTTTGTTGATAATTTCCTCTCCTTTACTCTTCTCTGTTTTCTCTTTCTGGAACTCCTGTTACTTAGATATTGGACCTCCAGAACCTGGTCTCTGATTTTATCTGTGCTCTCTCATTTTCCATCTCTGTCCTTTTACTCTACTTTCTGAGAGACTTTAATTTTCCAACCTTCTGATAAAACATTTTATCTCTGCTATCATATTTTTAATTTCTAAGGTCTCTTTTTATGTTCTTTGAATGTCTTTTCTTATCCTGTTCTTATTCCACAGTTGCAGTATATTTTCCTGTCTCTTTGGTGAGCTTAATATTTTTTTCTCCCCCCCCACCTTTATCCCTTTTTTTCTTTTTCTTCATGTTTCCTTCTCCCTGGACAACTTCATTTGTTCAGGTTGCTTTTTGTGTGCTTATTTAGATTGCAATTGCTAAAAGATAAACTGAGGTATATTAAAACTTGAGAGAGTTTATTTGGGCAAAAATTAGCAAGCAGCATCCAATCTAGCAGACAGAAAGGAGCTCAAGTTGCTGCACAAAGTAAAACACTTATAAGCAAGAAGGAGGTGGAAACAAGGAAGTCCTACTAGGCAAAAAAAAAAAAAAGGGGTTGGTTATTGCAAAGTTACTTTCCTTTAGGGGATGGCAGGGGTCTGTCAGGCAGATTACCTAACGGGTGCTGATCAGGTGACTCCTGATTCAAATGGTTTAAGATTCCATTCCTGGGAGAGCCAAACCTGTAATTCTCAGTTTGGTGACATGGGGATTAGCATAAACAACTCCATTTTGGGCCTGTTGTCTTGTTTTAAACATGTCTTCCATGTTAAAGGCCTTCTTTAGATTTCTAGTAATCCTTGATTATTTGCTCATAATCAAGATTAAGAGACTACAAAGCTGACTGGAAAAGTGTGAGTGTGCGGGTAAGGCTCCTTTGCTTGAAGCATCACAGTAGGATAATCTGACTGTACCATTTGTTGGGTAACCCCTGTATCAGTCATCTTTTAAGTATTGCCTTTCTCAGGGGAGTATCTTCCAAATTCCTGCCTAGAGAGTACTGTCTGGACGCTGGCATTTCTGGGTAGAAGGAATCAAGTAGGGGAAGACTGCATACCATTCAATGTCCTTGTAATTGACCTGTTAGCTTTGTGGTGCCCGTATCCTCAGATGTGCTTTTGAATGGCTTGGTGTCTTCCATTCCAGAGAAAGAGGGGCATGGAGTGAGGGAAAATATCTGGAATCAACTTCTCAAAAATATTTTCATCCTGTTCTTCCTTGCTTTCGCCACCCTACTTCACCTTAACATCTGAGCAGGGAGTACCAATCATGTTGGTTTTCAGATCTTCTCAGTGACAAGGGATGTGGCTTTCTTGAGTCAGGTAAGTCAGTTACCACTGATTTTTCTGGATTCCAAAATTTTGTTGCTATTTGTCTCCTCTCCTATCTTCCCCATTCATGTAGGATTATGACTTTTAAAAATCCCAGTAGTGTTCTTTTAGTTGAGCTTTGGGAAGGAACAAAATTAGATGTGTGGTCAATCTGCCATTTTAATCCAGAGTCCCTTTAGAAGCTTTTAATAGTTAGACTTAACCATTTATACAAGACATTTTTATGAAGCTCCTCTTATGTGCCAGACACTTAAACACACTTTTGTCTTTTCCATCTAGTGTGTTCATTACTGCTTATTAGCTAAAATCACAGTACATAAATAATAGAAATGCAGTTTCAGCAAACATTTGGGTCAGTTGTGCAAGAATTCTAGTAGGAAGTTATAAAAGTTAATAAATACCTCTATTTTGAGATAAATGCCCTTAACAGTGGCAACGTAGTCCACTTTCTGTGAGGAAACGTGTACTGAATACCACCTAATGATGCCAGAAATACGGTCAGACCTCATTATTCATGGTGGTTCTGTTGTGTGAGTCACCAAGAACGCAGAATTAGGAAATACTAGAACATTGCTCCTATAGGATATATACAGGGTTAGGTTCCTGCAGACCTCTGGTCACAGTATTTTCATCAACCAATCAACCTGTAACCTTGGTCTTTTTCTGCTTCTGTTTAAAGACACCATATTTAACATGTCTGAGTGAAGCTTTACACATGTATTTTCAGACAGCCTTCTTGGCTTTGGAACACTGGACAGTACTTCAGCACTGTGCTTGAACCATTGTAAACAATAAACTCAAATATGTCGGCTATACTTACTTAAAAATTTTAAAATAATAAAATACTTTTCTCAAAAGAAAAATAAACAGCAGAAAGCACAAAACTGTGAAAAGCATGGCACTAAATAAACCACAAAAAGGATGCTTACACTTGTTCACTGTATGAGAGCTGAATGTTGCACCTCAGCTGGAATATGTGTCGAGTGACTTAAATTTTTCACCATTCTGAGTATGTCTGTGAGTGACCACCAGATTGCTGCAAGTATTGATTTTGGGGTTACAAATTAATTTTAGCAAGTAGATAAATTCACAAGTATGGAATCCACGGATAATGAAGATCACTTACTTGTATATCTTAGCCCCAATCCCCCTAGCTACCCACCCTTATAGGGAAAGTCATTTATTAACCCCTCTAGAAGAAACAGTGCAGTTTTGGTTGTTTTTTTTTTTTTATTTTTAAGATTTTATTTATTTATTTGACAGAGAGAGAGAGCACAAGCAGGGGGAGCGCAGAGGGAGAAAGAGAAGTAGGCGCTCCACTGAGCAGGGAGACCCGACGCAGGACTCTATCCCATCCAGAACTCTAGGACCATGACCTGAGCTGAAGGCAGATGCTTAACCGACTGAGCCACCCAGGCACCCCAACAGTGCAGTTTTTATATGCATTTATCCATGTGCTTCTAAAATGTTTTATTTTTTAAAGATTTTATTTTTCAGTAATCTCTACGCCCAACATGGGTCTCGAACTTACAACCCGGAAATCAAGAGCCGCATGCTCTCTACCAACTGAGCCAGCCAGGCGCCCCCAGAGTTTTTAATAGCCAGTGTAATTGATAATAGCCAGTAATGAAGTCAGTCATTAACAATCTACATAACAATACCTTACTGACTTTTACAGCCTCGTGAAGTATTTCTATTTAAAAGAAATAAAAACTGGGGCGCCTGGGTGACTCAGTCGTTAAGCGTCTGCCTTCAGCTCAGGTCATGGTCCCGGGGTCCTGGGATCGAGCCCCACATCAGCCTCCCTTCTCAGCGGGAAGCCTGCTTCTCCCTCTCCCACCCCTGCTGCTTGTGTTCC